GTGCCCAGTCATCTGCAGCTGGGGAAGCCCCTAGGGGGCAGAGCCTGGTGGCCCCAGGGCAAGCCTGACGCCGGCCCCTCCCAGAGGCCGGCCAACCTGCACCGCCACTGAGGGCAGGGCCGGCCCCGGAGCTGCCTCCAGGATCTCACACCGTACCCCGGAGAATTCAGCAGTGTCTGCATGTACCCCCATCTTGGCACCCTAGGGGACACAAGGAGCCCCAGGCAGTTTGGGATGGACAGAAGGTCCTCTCGCAGGCCTCGACCTCAGCCCTGGGGAGGGTAGCTGGCAAACAGGCTTGGGTGAGCCCCTAAAGGTGGCATGAGGCCCCAGTTCCTGTCTGATGACCACCAGCACGACCAGCAGGCGGGTCTGTCCGTGGCTCAGTCCACCACGGGGCCTCTGCTGTCGGGGACACAGAGCCACAAGCGGCCCCTCTCCCAGGCGCTCCCCTCTGTGCCTGCTGGGTCCCACCTTGGAAAACCCTCTGGCCCTCCACCAAGCTGGCATTCCCGCAGCACAAGATCTCCCCCACCCCACAAGAGCACCCCATTGACATCCCAATGGAGAACCGGGGTTCAGGGCAAGGACCCCATGATCAGAGCCTGGTTTTGCCTGTCTGAGACACAGGGCCTTCTCCGGCCCATTTCCCCACTATAAACAAGAGTGCCAGGGTGCCCGGCGAGCGACACCGGTGTGCAGAGCCGCAGACAGGCGAGGGCGGCCGGGCGGGCTGCCCGCACGCTCAAAGCAGGACTCTCAGGAAGGGGGGGGCCGCCACGCAGGCCTCATTTTCTGAATGCAAAGCCACCTCCGAAAATAAAAACGAAAAAGGCAAATGAGCCACTCCACTTTCCCTGACCTCTGGAGGCTGGCCACGGGCTGCGCTCCGGGCTCCCGGCCAGCTGACCCAGGCGGGCCCTGCGGGCAGGGTCTCTGGTCAGGGGCATCAGCCTGCGCCTCCCGCTCCCCTCCGCGCCCGCACCCGGCTCGCCGCCAGAGCCGCGCGACCTTCCCGCTCAGGCCCAGCGCTCCGAAGCTCCCTGGGCTCTTTCACGTGTTCTGTGGGATCCCAGCTCTCACCACAGCGGAGCAGCGGCCCCGGCGTGGGACGGCCACTGTGGGCCCCCCCGGCCTCCGCCCGCCCGTGGGAGGCTCTAAAGACTCAAACCCCCTCAGGCCCCCCGCCCAGCGCGCCCCCCGCCACGGCAGGGCCCCCCACTCGGCCTCCCCGCCTGGCACAAAGCGCAGGTGCCCAGCGGAAGGGCTGAGCCAGACGGCACACAGCTTCCTCCTCCCGCCCCCGGAGGTCGGGGGACATCCGACCACGTGGCCGACAGGTGAACCGAAGCACGAGCACACAGGGCCCCTGCCCCCCGGGGGCGTGGGGACACCCGCGCTGGCCTGTCTGTGCTGGGCTCCGCCCGACTTGGGCCCCGGGGCTCGACCTCGGAGGGGCCGCGACACCCTGCGGGCTGCTGTCACAGCCCCAGCGCTCCACGCCAGCCCACGCCAGCCCACGCCAGCCCCAGCGCTGCCAAACAGGAAGCCGCCGTGGGGCGTGCAGGGCCTCCCCGACACCCTGAAAGTAAAAACAAGTCACGTGACGCCTCACGGGCCAGGGCACCGCTTCCGCCGAGCCCCTCCCCCAGCCTCTGCTGACCTCACTTCCTGGCGCGCGCCTGGGGTGCCGGCCCCCCCATCCCTTTCTGCTCTGCGTCATGATTCAGACTAGAATTGCAAGAGGGTGCCAATCCAGTGCACAGGTTGGGGGTACCCTCCCCGAGAGGCCCCCAAAGGGACCTCTCACGCGGCCAGCAGGTATCAGGGCCGGTATCACCTGACCCGGACGCCCGTCTCTTTACGAGGTGCCAGGCCTGGACGTGCCGAGTGGCCCGTCTCGCCAGGCAGTCGGGTCCCAGCAGCAGGGCAGCGTCACCGCCCCAGCACAGCGGGAAGATGGGCCCAGAGAGACCAGGGCCTGAGGCTGGGCCCTCACCCCACACATGCAGACCGGGCCCAGCCGCCCTGGCCTCCGGCCTGGCCTCCGGCCTGGCATACGCGAGGTGTGCTGCGAACGGGCAGGGCCACTGCAAGGTCCCCATGCCCAAAGCAGCAGCTGGACCTTCAAAAATAACCCGGAGAGGTTCCAGAGCGGCCAGACCTAGGCCTGGGCCTGGAGGGCCAGGGCCCAGGCATGGACAGGCACCCGGGCCACCAGGGGTCCGCGTCCGCCTGACCCCAGCCTCCGGACTACTCGAGCCGCTCTCCCACCCTGGCTGCTGTCCCCCGGGGACCGAGACCCTCCGTGAAGGCCGGTGTCGCTCTCCTGAGACAGGCCACTGTTCCCTGCCCAGGCTTCCCGGGGGGCTCGGCCCCCCCTACAAGTACAGGACAGGAGACTGCGGCCAAGTCGCCCACTCCGGAGACACGGGCAGGGACAGCCAGCACGAGGTGCAAAGCTTCGGGGAGGCCCTGAGCCGGTGCCTGGAGCCGGCCGGGAGAGGACGCTGCCTGGCCTTGCCCAAGGTGGGCCCAGGCGGCCAAGGGGCCAGAAACCCGGAGACCTGCCAGGCAGGAGAGGGGTTAACTGGCGCGGGGACCTCGAGCCACCTGGCTGCTGCCAGCCCGAAGCTGACAGAACCGACGACGGCTGAGTGAGGCCGCGAGCTCGGCCGACCGTCCAGACAGAGGGAAGGTGGCGCCGGCGCTGGGCGCCAGGAGGCAGCTGAGCCGGGCAGCCCGGCGGCCCTGCAGACCGCACACCGAGCCGGCCGCCACCCTGGGCGGCCCTGCAGGCTTCGGGCGCCCCGGCTGGAGGGCCGGGCAGGCCCTCGGGCTCCTCGCCCCTGCCTGGGTCCCAGCCGCTGGCAAGCCACAGCCGCCTCGTCATGGTTGCAGGATTGGGTGGCCGCCGCGGGTCCGGTTACAAAACACTGTTGCCCGAAGCCGGAGCACGCGGAGGTAAGCCCGTGGCTGTCTGCAATGACCCGCACGGGGTGGCCCTCCGGGGACCACCAGGGCACAGGGGGGAGCACGCAGGGCCCGGAGCCAGGCCGCTGACCTCCCGACCTTCCCCGGCCTGTCTCCCCTTCCACGGCGGGGGGCGGAGCTGTGCCGCCTGCAGGGCTGCCGTGCGCCCCGCCGTGGTCAGGGTTCTCGTCCCACTGTCCAGATGCGGGCACGGGGGTGGGCCTGGTCGAGGTGGAGGCAGTCGGGAAGGGGCGGCGCGAGGGCTTGAACCCCGCCCGGCAGCTGGCAGTGAGCCCCAGGTGCGCTGTGGACTGGGGGGCGGGGGGGGCTGCGCCGCTGCCCCCCGCCCTGCAGGACCCTGGAGCAGAGCCAGGCGGGAGAGGAGGAGCAGCCTCCTCAGGGTTGGCCTGCACCCCCAAGGGGAAGAACCCAGGAAGACCGGTATCCACAAACACTTGCCGGGACACTGGGGCCGAGGACGCTCGGACCCTCCCGCCCACCCTGGGGCTCCCTCTCAGGCCAGGCCGGGCTGGCACCCTGCTGCCCACCGGCGTCCACACGGCCACGGGAGGGCAGGCGGGCGCGGTCACTGGTGGCTGCCCGGCCTGGTTCCCACAGCCGGCTGTGTCTATGGACGCACACGCGCGCACAGCTCCAGACGGGTCCAGGGCCCGGGCCGGGGCTCCGCTTGCAGGAGGCAGGGCGCGGGAGGACATTCGGCGAGCGGTTTCTCACTGTCCCCCGCGGTCAGCGCTCCCCAAGCTGAGCCTCAGCCCACATCAATCACGGCCGGAGTCAGTCTGCAGGGCAGCTCCTTTGTGCCCTGAAGGGTGTGCGGCGTCCGCCGGCAGCTGCCAGGCCTTAGCAGAGCTCTGAGGCGGGCGGGGGGGGGGGGTGACCTCGGAGGAGGGGACGGCTCGGCGTCAACAAAAGGCCAAGGCTGGGCTGAGCCAGGACATCTGGCCCCGGTCCCACCTCACCTGCCTTCATAAACGCGGGACCCCGTTGGAGGGAACATGCTGCTGCCCGCTCCTGGGTGCTGGGGCAGTGGAGGGGCGCCCCAAGAATGGCCCGGCACGCCACCTCCTAGGAAGCCAGTCGGGCTGTCTTCGCACCAGCCCCCATTCACAGGAGAGAAACTGAGGCGCAGATGACTGCCTGGCTGGGGTGGGGAGCCAGGGCAGCAAGCCAGGTGGGCCCAGGCGTCCCCCCATCTCTGTGGTGCTGCCTGCGCCAGGCCAAAAAGGCCTGCCCCCCAAACAACCCATTTCAGAAGGGCTGGAGATGACCACCCCCTTGCATGGACAAGGGGTTGCAGAGGAAGGGCAGGGGTGAAGACCCCTTGGGGTCCCGGTGGAAGACCCCCTTGGACCAAGGGGCCCTCTCCCTGGGAGACGCAGGCAGGCCACGGCCCTGCCTCATCTGGCCTGCAAGGACGCCCCAGCCGGCCACACCACTCACCCGTAAGGCCGCTGGATCAAGGTGGGGTGCAGGGGCTGCACACCGACAGCAAAGCCTGGAACGAGAGAAGGTTTCCAGGCTCGCCTCACCCCGGGAAGCGAACCCCCACAGCCTAAGTAAGAGATGATCAGCTCCCCCCGCCACCACATGAACCCCACACCTCTCTGCTGGAGCGGACGGAAGAAAAGGACCAACTTCCTCCCTCTCTCCCTCACTGGCTCCCAGAGGGCAGAGGCGGGCGGGAGCTCCCTCTGGGGGGGGGGGGCAGCACACTCCCCGAGCCAGGGGTCCTCATCCCGGCGGGAGCTCCCTCTGGGGGGGGGGCAGCACACTCCCACCAAGCCAGGGGTCCTCCTCCCGGCAGGGGACGACCACCCAGTGCCGGCTCCAAAACAAAACACAGGATAGCCGCTGGTCACTGCTGGGGGGCGCCCCTCCCACCACAGCGGAGGCCAGAGGAAAGCCAGCAACACTCACCCGTCTGGAGGTTCCGCGGCTTGGCACCCAGATAAGCCAGGTTCACGTTGGCCTTGCGGCCGTCGATGTTGGGGTTCGGGTCTTTGCAAGCCCTCTCAGCTGCCGCCCGGTCTGCCATGGTCACCTGGAGAGGCACAGAGCCTCAGGAGCCCCCCAAAAGCAGGGTCCCCGCAGGCAGGCGGCGGAGTCCCTGGGACCCCAGCCTGGGCCCCTTCCTGGGAGCTGTCCCCAGGGCTGCAGCTCCTCCCTCCAAGCCCGGCAAACCCCCCCAGCAGACAGTGGCGGGGGGAGGGCGCTGGCCAAGGGGAGCGGGTGCCACCCTGGCGTCTGACGGTGAGGGGCCACCAGTCTCCCCGGTGGGAGGTCCAGAGCCACGGCGGCTGGAAGGGGGCAGGGGCCGGCGGAGGCGTCTTCCGATGGCTTTTACTCAAACCCAAGCTCGCTGGGCACCCCAAGGGGACCCGAGGAAGGCGTGGGGGAGGGGCGAAGGGCCCCGCCGCCCGCGCCCTATGGAGGACTGCTCCTCCCCACTGGCTGTAGCTCCCGGCGCCCGAGCAGCCGTCGGTCCGGAAACCTGCCACAAACTTTGAGTTCAACGCAACGCGCCGGCCCGGTGGGGGCAGGGAG